TTTTTTTATAATATTACTTTGCCGTTTTTGTTGTCAATATATATATATATATATTACATGCATGTATTGTAAGGTAACTAATTACGGCATTTTATCATTCATTACACTAAACGTACCCTTAAACATACCCGTTAATCATTTCGAAGGGTCTTTTATAAAATCAAAGGTGTTGCTGTGGTTTTTTTAGCCGTACCTGAAAGGTGTCTTTTCGGGTCAAAAACTTAAAAAGTACGCCCCTTCATTTTCAAAATCGAGAATACACCATTATTTTTTTTTTTAATAGTTTTCAACTAAGATATACGGCGCGATATTAATTTTTTAAAAATGGTCAAAATACATCTAAATTTGTATGAAATATTCTTTAGTTATAAAGAAATAGGTATCAATGAAAAACCATAAAATAGCGGTCACCAAAAATATAATATTCTCTACTTAGGCTTTTGTTTTCAGCGCCATCTAGCTATAGCTCCGTACAATAGTGTTAATTAGAACCATCAGCAGTTGCATTGCCTGGTTATTCTTTATTTTAATTTTGTGTTTTAGATGATTTTTCGTCATTTTTTCAGCGACAAGTACTTTTATTTTATGTACGTTGTTTCACTTCCAGTTTTAAGAAAATATGTGATGTAAGTCTTAAATCAAAATAATATATATATTCAAATAATAAGTGATGTAAAGTTTTGAAATTATGCATGAAACTTGGCAATCCTATTTTGATCAATACATATTGATTTTTAACACAACTTGGAATAAAATAACTGTTAACACAATGTATAATAAAAGTATATTTAATAATTACATATAAATATATTGGAAGAACCAAATTACCCTTTTTAAAATTTTTTCGCTAAATTAAAATTTGGTAATCGATGTTGTGCAACTACTTAAATTTTCTTAATTAAACTTATAATTGTGAAAAACTTAAGTTCTCACTTTTTCAATGAATTTTTTATACTTAATAACTTTTGTGAACTATGTTGTCGATAAACATTTTAAAGGCAAAAGATAAATATTCTGAGATTGTTTACAAAAAATATGGCATGAAAAAAAAAATTGCACAGTACCCTTTTTAATGATCCGGACGGCATGGAAAATCATATTATGCTCAAGTCTTAAACAGTGATAGTATAGATTCATTTAATATTATAATCTATTATTATTTTTCATAATATAGGTATATATATATATTTACTGTACGCGAGTCAAATAAGTAATAAATCGAATGATATAGTAGAAAAATGATAGAGAGTGACTTTGTTTTTAAACCGAACAGCGGATTACCCTCGTACTTACAGTGATTATCCATTGACATAGTACAATAGAGTAGGAATAAACTGCAATCAGTGTGTGTATTTTGCGTTGAACAGAATTGCGTAACGATGTTGACAGACGCCTGTACGGTTATTATAAGGGACGAGTTGGTTCACATTACTGAAAAGGTAATTTTATTTCCCGGGTTTAGCCCTTCAGCTGATCGATTGACCGTGTAAGCTCGTCGAAATTTTAATTAAAATAAAAAATTAATAATATCGTTTTTTTTTTTTTTACATGTTTTTTTCCGTAAACAAACTGTATTTATTATTCGTTTGGGAAAAAAAAACAAAATAGTTTTTATTTAAACAAACGTAAAAAAAATGCCTCGATCATTCGGTAAATCTAGGTCAGCGGTATGCTGTATTTTATATATATTTAATAATATTGATATACGTTAAATTGTTTCTGTGTACAGTATTCTAAATATTCCGTCGTTTTATATTAGTTTTTGTAGTTTGATAATTTAGCTTTAATGCAGAGCGTTTACAAAGAAATTGATTTTCAATGGAGAATATTTTAGTTGAATACAATTTTTGGCTAAAAAAAAGTCTCCACCAACGGACTGAAATTACTGAAAACAAACTCACAGAAAAGGGCGAACAAAATAATAAATGCAACATAAATCTTCAGCTATGAACGAAGACATGTAGGTAATCTTAAAAAAAGAATTGTTCATTAAAAGCATTGCAAATTTAGTTTAAAACCGAAATAACCCCGCGTGTACATGTGATAATTGTATAAAACACAATGATTTTTTTTTACTCAAAATTATTCTTTTTAAAACGAAAGGGTTCGTAAGTCGTTACCTATATTCTTAAAAAAAATATAATTTTCAGTAATTGTAGTTTACATTTATATGGGAATAATGATTTGAAATCACATACAATTATAAATGGATTAATGTTTACATTTTTTTTTTTTTTTAATTTCAAGTTGTACTTTTTTATTGGAGCGTCGAATGGGTCTAAAAACAGCTATAAAAACTTAAAAATAAAATGAAGGTTTCCATTTACATAGATAAAAAATAAGACATGTGTATTATATGTGACATCATATTATCGTGTTATTTCCAGTATATTCTAGTGTTTTCGATTAGCTCGAATTGTCAAGTGAGCTTACAAGTAAGATTTTATTTTAGGACATTTTGAAGCCCGAATTTAAGACGATTATTAGTGTGTTCCACATAGTAGGTATGTGCTTGTACGGGAATTTCATTTCGGTTCGGTGTCAATTGTAAAACTTTCGGCTGTTTGACCACTTGGCCATTTAATATATACGTGAAAAATAAGGCATTGGAAAAATTAGTGTTACCAAAGAGTTTGGACTTGGATAAGACTGAAAACTCGTTAAACTATTTCAAAACAAGCCACCGTGCAGGCGTTAGGCGAAAAAGTCAAGTTTGCTCCGACAATACATTCACTAAAATATATGCTGTCTTAATTGAAAACATTTCTGTACTACAAAGCCAATTATCCTGTTGCTTAGTTTACGATTCATCCATTCACAGTAAACTTTGTGATTGACATCTATAGTTGTACTAATATTCCATTAAATTATGGTTGTCGGGGAGACTTATTTAAGTGTAATCAGATTACCACAAATGAAAAATTTTCTCTTACCTAGTTGTAAACAACAACAACGAAAAAAATGACTTTGATTTGTTATCAGTAAAATGTCATAATCATAACATTTTTTATCATTACTGTGTAAGTCTAAGAAAAATTACTTCACTTTAAATGAACACTAAAACACCAATACGAACAATGTTATATCTGATGTATACCGTCCTTTGCGATAAGTATTATACTAATCATAATAAGTGCAGAATATATAGAATGTATATAACATATATGAATTTAAAGCCACCGGTTATCAAAAGAACAAAAGACACGAAATACAAAAACAAATCTTAATGGTAATTGTAATGTTCTTTTTACCCTCAATTTTGTAACTCTCAGCACAGCGTTTTACATGCGTTCGTCTAACGTAGTCATTCAATAATATGTAATAGTGTTAATTGTTGATTCTTAATAAAATCCGTGTTAAAAAAATATTCTATTATAACAAAGGATTATTAAATATTGATTCCTATCCCAACCGTCTGACTTCCCATTTGCATAAGATCCGTCTTGAACTTTCATCATTTCCCTTCCAATTTATGGTAAAAATATAAAGTCAAAGTGTAATTGTATAAATTACTAGAAAACTCTCAAGAACTTTTTGGTCGTCAAAAGAAATTTCGGACGGATAAAGTTTATTTTCAAAAAATAAGGTTCTACCTCTATATTAACTTTTTTGGTAAAATTTATTGTGTTTTGATTTATTTTTGTCTCGATTACTTCTCCAAGTGGTTCCGTTTTAAACTGAAAACTATGTTTTTAGCTTCGATGCAGAGCTGAAAAGGTATTAATTCTTCTATGATGTGTGTTTTTTTTCATATTTGAAAACATGATATTTTTTTCTCCGATTAGTATTCGAGTAGTACCTCCAAGGACGATATGTTGTAAGTAGTATATGTATCATGTAATGCGTTCTTTTATATATATTATATTATCATAGTATATGAATTCATTCTGACGTACGACTAAAAGTTTTAGCTAGGAAAAGTTTTTTTGAAAAAGTTGTACTTGTCGCTATTATGTTACAATTTAAGGACGTAAAATGACGTATTTCTAAAGTAAATTTTCCGTCCTTTAATTAAATTCTGTATATTTTAGCTATAGGCTTAACGGTAAACGAGTTACATGATGAAACGGCAAAGGGGTCGCGCACTCCCTTGTTGGAGACTATGCACAAAGTGTAGGCTTAGGGACTTTTAGTACGTTAATCAGTAAGGTATGGACTGATTGTGACTTGTGTACCAAAATTTAGCTTTTGTGGAATTAGTTCCAATCTTTGGAAAAAAACTGGGCAATTTTTTCTCGGGTTTTCATGGTTTTTACGGGGAGGAGTGGATTTTTGCGACATGAAAATTCTATAATATTACCATTTGTAAAAGATTTCCGATTAATAAAGTTGTCTCTCGTTTAAAAGTTAATAAAATTAAAGTTATCTATCTTCAAAATTTTTTTTTTCAATATTGCATTTAATGAATAAGGAGCGAAATCCCAGTTGTTGCATTACCGAAAAAAAAGAAAGAAATTTCGTTCTGAGAAGCTCCGAAAAATTGAAAGAATTCTACGAACGCGTTCCTTCCAAGCAATGGTAACGTTATTCATTTTTGCATTTTTTCGTGGGCCATGTGTGTTTGTCCGTTATTAATGTAACGAAACAGCTAACTTCCCGTCAGAACATTAGGCTCGTCGGGCTCTGATCACACCGGACCGGAAGGGCAAAGGTGGATGGGTAGGGAGATCGTATAGCTCTGCTCTGGTGTACGCGATTCCGGTGCCGGCGCCGAGACGTGACGCGCTATCACAAAGTCGAACGCCAAAGACTTTTCAAACGCCCCGACGGTCGTTTTGCAAATGGCGCCCTTACCGACTTGACCCCCCCCCCGCCCCGGGCCCCGGCTTGTATATTTTTCACCCCGGTTACCACGGTTACTGGTTGCGGGGCGACGGCGGTGCGCGGGGGACGATCGATACGAGGGTCGGGAAAGCCGATTTTGCGCGCATCTGCCCTGTCCGCGTCTATTCAGACAGTCGCCGGACTACAATAACACTTCACGTTACAAGTAAGTTTTTTTTTTGTTGTTGTAATTTTACCATACGCTTGTTACGTTATACTATTACATTGCGTAGTACGCGATTGCTAAAAAAAACTTGACTCGACGCGGTCGAATTAGAAACTTATTTGGATTTTCCGCGTTCACGACGACGGCAAACTTTATTGTTATTATTATATTTTATACTGCTCGTCTAAATCTACAATAGTAATACAATATATAACGTTATCACGATCTTAGCTGTTGTAATAATATAATTATTTATGACAAAACGACATCGGCTCCCGTGCGAATTTCGAATTAATATTATCATAATGTGTCAAGCGCTTGTGTGACTTCATCATAATAATAACAAACAAACGGTAATAAAAAAATAACGTCCGAAACGGCTATGAATTTTAAATCGCGCATTAACAGCATTATATTATAGTATTATTTTATGCACACATATGCAATGATAATATTATTGTGTTAAGAGTACCTACAGGACGAATTGTTTAAATAGTTTTATTTCGATAAGCGCAAAACCGGTGGCGCAAATAGGAAACAATTTCCGAAGAATAGCTGAAGCCCCCCTACCTCGGGTACATATAATATATGTAATTTAACGTTTTATTTTTAAAAATATTACAACTTTTTCATTCAAATAAATAATTCTGTCCCCCCTAAAATATTGATATCCCTAGTATTTAAAATGTAATACAAAACGTCATACTATGTATGCTATGTATCTGACTAAGAAAAAATGTACTAGCTTAATTTCTCGCTAAAAAAAAACAATGGAAAAAGTTTTGAAGATTACATATCCCGCAAATGGAATACTCTAATTTAAATATAAATATACTTATATTTTACTTAGAAAACACAAAATTAGAAATTTCTAATTTTCTTTTGTTAAATTTTTTTTTACACATTCCACATTAATTTTGAGTCAAGACAAAAAACTAAATAAAAAGTATCTAATTTTATTTTATTTAAGTTAATCTATTTGAAATATATTTTAGAAAACTGCTTGAACGTACAAAATACTCTAAAAAACCACAAAACAACAGTGTTTTTGTTAACAAATTTGTAGGCGATTTAAATAAATAACAAAACGCGCTAAAAAATATTTGAAACCAATTTTAGGTTTAAGGATCCTAAATTAAATGTATTCAAAAAGAAAGTTAGGTGTTAAATATTACATAAAATAAAATTTTAACATTTTAACTATATTATTAACAAATATAGCTCGAATTCGATGTACTAATCAATAAAACTAAAAAAAAAAATGAATTAAATAGTTAAGCTTGATTCCGTTTTTCTAATGATTGTTTTGGAATATTCTTTTTTCGAATTAAAGACAACAACAATAAATACTCAATAATATATGTTTTATAGTTTTATAATTTATAAATTAGCTTAGAAAATGTGTAAAAAATGATATAGAACAAAATTAATATATTTTATCAACAGTCTGCATTCACTAAATTGTTGCCATGGTGATCTCGAAGACGTTAACACGAGGGATGTTAATTCGCATTTATTGTACTGACGTTGGATTTAATTCCAAAAAGGCAAAATAGTTATTTCGTGCGTCGGTATTTAATCCTAAATGGGGTTATGTGGATTTTATAATTAAATCTGTACACATTGAATTTTTCCACCAGCCCCAGGTGGTTAGGTATTTAAGCTGGACGAAGTTAGGAAAGACACTGGTGCTTAATTTTATTTATATTATAGTTTTTTCATTTTTAATTCGGAAACATTCAGTTCGACAGGATAATAGAAAATGTTTCGGGTCTTAGGACTCGATGAAACGAAAACTTCCCTAAGCAATATTATATTCAATGTCTTGAAATAAATAATGAAACAAAAAAAAAAATTTTCCCGATTCAAATCTGACCCAATCTACGAAATTCCTATAAAACGTACATACTTTGGTGTATTCGTCATATTTTGCTGTTATTATTATTACTATATTTTAAAGTAGTAGTGAAAAAAAAGCCGTTGTTCGTGGTGGGTTTACTATAGTATTGTATATTTTGAGTTCAGAGATGACGCCATCGTTAATAGTAGTTAACGAAGCTGTCAATCATCATATTATTCTCCCCTATGGTGAATGATCAATTGTTACAGCCTGACGAGTTGGTTTTCAACAGTCATTGCACACAAGGTAGGTAAATACGTTTCCGTGTAATTTTCGTACAAACATAAGGCAGACTCCTGGGACGACAGACAGGAAAGGGAGACCGCAAGCGCCCACACAAAGTTATTTACATTTCAAGATGATAAATAGAATTTCAGCCTCGACTTAAGCTGTACAATAGTTTACAGAAGAAACTGTTTTGCATAACAACATTTCCAAATACTCCAAACAGTAACAGCAGACTTAAGTAAGGTTTTCGTCCGATGGCTCCGTTCGGTAAAATAGTAGTAATGCTCTGGTGAATTTTATTAACGTTCAACGTACCAATACAATATAGTTGAAAATAGTATCGTTTGAAACAAAATAACGCTACCGGTTGTATTCTTGTAAATCTCTTGGCAAAACATTATTCTTAGTTATTGTTATAATAATACTTAGAAATGTTTTGTTTCGGTCAAATAATAGGTGTATAAAACGCTTTGGATTTTGGAATAATTAATAAATATTTTCTTTAACTAAACATTTAGTTAACCGAACTAAGTTATCTGAGCTATAAATCTATCGTGTTTCTATATTTTATACCGTAAATTTAGTTGGTCCAACTATGTATATTTATCAGGGCACCATCTCGCCTTCCGGCCCAGTCCGGCACCGATTTCAATTAATATACGTTATTATATTTGTTTTAGTTATTATTCGTTTTTCAATTAAACTGTTTCCGACTCTGCTGACGTGGTGTTAAAAATATTCAAACATTGAAATAAAAAAACGTTGTATTTTAAATTTTATGGCTTCCGAAAAATTATTAATAGTACTCTTGTGTTTTGATTTATTTCCAACGAAGTATTTGAGTAATATTTTTAACAGATTTATGTATTTTTTTGTCATAGAAAACATCAAAATGAAAAAAATGTTATATCTTGTCGGGTCGGGTTTATGTTTGGCCACGGCGGTCACCTGTATGGACACTACCGGCTTTGAATGTGGCGACTTAGGACCGCCACCTTCTATACTGGAAATGCCGCCCCCGCCGATGCCATCGTTTTTGGCGGCCGTCTTAGACGATCAGTTGGGCAATAACGAGTCGAATTCGCCCAACAAAGATTTGCTGATGGAGACTAACGAACTGGAACCCGGTAAACCGTGCAAGTCGATGTGCGACACGGATCAAGGTGTCGGATTTGTAGAGCTACCACAACAAGGTACGTGGCACAATATCGGTATTAATTAAAAAAAAATATATATATATATACATGTACTTTTACATACGTTTATACGATTTCAGGTCCTATTATCGAAGGGTATTCTTTTTGGATGTTGTTGTTCACGTGTCTACTGGGAGTGATGCTTCTGGGCACCATCATACTGGTGGTGGTCATCAGACTTAGAGAGTAAGCGTCGGTTAGGTCTGGTCAACGTGCCAAGTAAACGCGTTATACTACTTGTTTTTTTTTTTTTTTTTTTTTAGAAGGAAACGTTGGAGTAAATCGGATTACAGCCCGGAACCGAGGAAGAGCCCGAATCTATACGACACCATAGACATATCGCCGAAAACGTTTTGGGCTACCTTGTCGCCCACGGGCAACATCGACACCACGGCCACGGTCAGACGACCGGTGCACCATCATCCGCAGACCATAGCGAATCCAAATTTCGAAAACGGGGCTTACTACCCTTACGAGCAACAGCACGAATACCAAACGATAAACACAATCCGTCGCATACCCGTCGAGTACCAGACCATCAGGCCCCGCGTGTCGTCGCCAACTCGAATCGAGCACCCAAACATGCCGCCTTTGAATCTATACAGATCCGTTCGTCGAATCTCTGATATAGAATCGCCATAAACGGTACCTACCGAACAGTTGTAAACTTTCATAAAAAAATTACTCTTGATTTATTTTAATCTCCTCGTTTGAGCTAAAAATGTGACTTTCGTTTGGTTTTTTTCCTAAACGGGGGTCTCAATTGTTTCTCTATAAATGGTATCTGCTACGTTAAATTTAGTCGGTCAAATTTACTTTTAAAATTATTTGCAAAACATTTACTTCGTTAAAAAAAAGTATATTTAAAAACTGCATGAAGTCAAAAATAACGACCACCCTGTATAATATAGATAGACCTACCTATACCATTGTGTTTAAGCTTTGACAAACACAGCGTTTTCTTTGATACTTTGTGAAATTGAGTGTTTAACATGAACGTTACATTTTTTGCATTGAGTCCGATTTGGTCAGTCAAACTAAATGAACGCTATTGCCTTGAAAGTTATACAGTTATTATACGTATAAATTGTGAAATCCTAATAATTCTAGTCATATATTTGTAATATTAGTCAGTATTTGCCGTGTAAATATATTGTAACAAAAATAATAATAATTATTATTATTAAGCTAAGAGTTAAAACTGTATTACTCGTGGTCGTGCACTCGTTTATAAAATACCGCAATAAATTTACAACTCGTTTAAGCTGTGTGCATAATGCTAAATCGATAAGTTTAAATTATAGTAGTTAAAATTATATAAGTCAGAATTCTGAATATTTTAGTTATAAAAAAATAAAAGTGTGTTAACGTGCTAAAAAAAATCAGTGAACATTTGTAGGAAAAACTCAATTAAAATTAGACAACATTGTAAAGAAAGCTTTAACATTGTTTAAAACATTAAAAAAACCTCAGAGCTTAGTATGAGTTTTTTTTATGTTCAGAAATTAGTTTTAAGAATTAGTTTTCTGATATAATACGCATAATGAGTTAATTTAAGAACAGCACTAAGGTCCATGAACATGAAATCCTATTACTTTGTACAACTCCTCTGTATTGCTATAATCCATACATACACCGTTGACGCACTAAGTTCTTTTTTAAATTCCATTGACTGAGATAATATTATTATTTTTTTTTTTTTTTTGTAATACATGTTTAGATATTGTAATTTTACGGCTTACACATGCGATTTATAAAATATTTTACATTATTGTAATATTGTATTAATTACCTTTTGTCTCATCTTTATCGTAATATTATTTTTGTTTTATTATTTGTTTTGTTGTTGGCTGTTTTTTTAGATTAATATATAAATTATATTGAGTACAAACTAAAAATAGCATTATATTTTTATATCTGATCCTATTTAATCGAATCATTGAACCGAGTAGCCTTAAGTAAATGTATAGGCCGATGCAGTGTTGTCACTTGTTGACACCTTATCGTAACGAGAAGCAATCATATAATAATACATAAACAATGTTAGTATACATGCCAGTTTTGGGTTGTACTGGGTCATTCATTAAGGCTTAGATACTCATTTGCTCTTAAAATATTTGCAATTTTGTAGTTTTTTTTCGAGTTGTTTAAGTAATATTAGAAAATATCCAAATTTTTGTATTCTCTAATTTTTTCTAGAGCGCTATCAACTTTTTAACTTAATTGGAAACATATTTATATTTGATTAACACTTAACTATGAAAATTAAGAATAATTTGCTGAACATTTTGACTGGTCGATAACTAGTTTTATATATATGTACGTTCCTATTTAAGTTTCAAAAGTTGATAGACCTCAGAAAAATATAAAAAAGGTACCTAAATATTTAGTGATTTTATAATTTTGTAAAATAACAAAAACAAAAATGTTTTCAAAAAGAAAATCTATAAAATTGCAATTATTTTAGGAGAAAATGAGAGTCTTAACTTTAATGTATCACCCTGTACCTACTAAAAATGCAAAATTGTCTATCATATGGAAATCCTTCCCGTTTTTGGATGTATATTTAAGTATAGACATGGCCCGTGGGAATCGAATAATTCTGAAAACCAGGTCAAATAAAGTTTTTAAGAATAAAATCTAATAGTATATTCACATAAAATCAAATAAATGTTAAATATATATGATAAGATCAAACTGATTTTACTTAAACAGAATTTTTCATATGTGCAAAATACTTTTTTTTTGAATAGCACATAATTCTTGATTTTTCTATACAAGAGGCGAAATTATAGGACTCTGCGACGTAGTGTTGTAAAAATATAAATAAAAAAAAACAAATTGGTAGGTAGGTACTGCGTTGTTTGTTGTTGTTACAAGTTGTTACCAATAACTTGTTATCATTACCTAACGTTCGCTATGTGTGTGTATGTGTGTGTATACGTTTTGATAGAGACCAACGAAAAGGTTTATTACTTTTTATTACTTATTATTATTTCATAACTGTATGTTGGTTACGGGCGAATTGGCAAAAAGCTCTTCCCACAGGAGGCGCCAAAATGTATAAATAGCCGCGCTCTGTCTACGACGGATACTAGATTTTTGTCACACGCTCGTTCTAAAAACACACACACACACACAGTCGTGCAGTACCGTCTCTTCATCTCCAATACTTATACACAGTTATTATAATTATTATTGATGTACAAAATGAATAAAAGAAATCGCGTTGTGCCCTCGTCGAAAATTTCGTGACGTCCCGTCTGTTGACAAATATTATAAAAAAAAAAAAATCATCCCGGCTGTCACGATGAACATTTTGTTCAGGAAGAATTTCCAGACCGAAGGCACGTCCAAGGAGAGGAGCTACACCAGCAGCCTGGGCAGGAGGACGACTAGCGGAAATACGGGTGCGCTGGGGACCGTGCGAAGGACCAGAGAATCCAGGTTAGCAGCAGCTGTTTGCCGTTATTGTAACGACCATAATATAATGATATTGTTGTGCGTAGATTATAATAATGTGTACCTATATTATAGCGATAAGCCGATATCGACGGGGCAGGTGTGAAAACCGGTTTCGATTTCATTCCGAAAACCTCAATCGAGGACAGACATGGGAATCGTAACACGGTCAAATATGGCCAAGGTGCTAAGTCAGTGTTTTGGAACATTTTCAATCTATTAATGATACGATTAAAATATAAAAGCCAATTATCAATTATTACGAATGATGTGATCATTTAAAATCTACCATCGGAACTTCAATTGACAGCTGCTAGTTAAACACAATTGATTTATTTCCGAACTAAATAACATATTTTTTTTTCTCCTAATGTGGAAACTAATTTCCATAACTTTGACTCATGTGTATATTTCAAATGTGATTGGTAACATAATTGGATTTAGTGTTTATACTGTTGAGCGATATTAAAGGTCCAATTTATTTGAATGTCCAACGGGAATTGTGGCGAAATAACATTTCAAATTGAAAGTTAAAATATATCCCAATACGCTTTCGATTTAGTATCACAACTTATAAATTACAACTATTATAACAATATTGATAATAAAAATGATTGATTTATTTCACCTAATATTTTGGCGATTATTTTATTACCGAATAAATTGCTAAATTGTTTACCATTCAACTGATTGAGCATTTAGTGATCGATGACCAAGGCTGTTTTTAAATTGATCAGATTAATATTTATTTAATAAAATATTGTTTAAGGGAGTTTATTTAATTTTGTCAAATAATTTTACGCGATCAGTATTTTTCATAGTTAAATTTTAGCAACATATTAAACATATTAAAACAACATATTATCTAAATCCTTGGGTATTAACAAATTAAAATATGAGTACACAGTATGTAGAGTTTTTTTTACAATTTAAGTTATAGTAGATGTAATGCTTAGATACTTTATTTGACCGTGTTTAGATGGTTATTTGATTCTCGTGTCTGATTAGGGACAGTATACAATACGTTTCTTTTTGTACATACTATATTGTATCAACTGAATGTATAACTACATGATAACTTTTCTGTTAACTAAAGAACGTTAATTATAAAATAAGAAGTTACTAATAATAATTATGCCTTAAACACTTAAAACGAAAAATAGTTATACGAAAAGTATACGTCCGGTACTCTTTCCTGATGTACTTATAATTTATTATTACCAATTCAAAATCGTACGGTCTTCTTCGAATCTGATGTTATAACAATATAGATGTTCGGCGATGGTTGACGATCACACTTGCCCATTCAGGACACATATACTTCTGGGCCATGCCAACTTCCCGCAGGAGTTCGAAGACTTCGTCGGACCACCACTAATGGCAGCCCCCAAACAGACTTCAGCGGTTCCTTTGATTAGATGGATTAGAAGAAAACAATCGACCGGCAAAGCAGATTCCATTACGCACACACCACAATTCTCCAATGGTACCGGGACCTGTACAAACACCGCCGGTCCGACGAATACTATAGTCGATAAGGTGAGCCCACCATAGCTCATATAAATGCGCGATCATTTTTCGTCATGAAAAACGTTAAATTTGTAATAGTAAATTAATTAAAAATACAATTTAAAATTGGCGATAAGGTGGCGGTGTATCTCGCGGTTTTTTGCACTCTAATCATAGGGTAGGGCCGTCGAACCGAACCTACCCCTACTGGTTAAATTCCATTTTAGGACTGCATTCTAACCGATCAACTGAATAAATAGCTAACAGAGAGACCGAGCACCGTATCATTATTATATATTTAATAGTTTATAACACAGGTAATATTTGATCATATTATTGTACTTTGGTAATTTTCACTTACAATCATTATAATTACACCGTTTTACTCTCCATCGTTGCTTTGATTACAAACGTGCTTTATCGATTTATTTATTAATACGTTCATCCGTCCAATATACTAAGCCATAAGACATATCCACAATTCGATGTTTCTCCTCTCTCTCTTATGGACAAGGATATGTAACAGAACAAAACTTTATATTGTCTTATTAAATGATTAAGTATTATACTATATGTATACTTACAAATTCAAAAAACAAGGGTCACATTAGTTGGTTTACTGATTGATCATAAATTCACTCCATTTAAAAATGACGAGACTTAGTCGATGTCTCATGTCGGTCTCCAATTATAATCACAACCTCCACTACAATTCTTACGTTTTATTCATAATTTTTTTTATCGGTTAATGAAATTAAAAAATAGAATTGTATACAAGTGTAATAATTATAATATTATAAGCATCATTACTGTTGTTTAGGGTTGCAGAGGTCGCCACGGTTCATATTCAACGCCAAATATTCCGAATGGCATGAGCCCACATATGGCGTTGCAAGTCAGAAAGGTTGACTCTGCAAGTATAGCAAATTTAGATAAAGACTGTTTTATCATACCGATCGCCTACTTGGATAGGTTTCTTCCCGACGGTGTGAACGTACGAGACATTATAATCAATATGCTCGAGCTATATAATTATTCAACTATATTGAGAATAAAAAAATCTCTGCATTTCAGCTTCCGACCACTCCGGGTATAAACAAACCCAACGCTCTGAACATGGTCGAAGTGGATGACCCAAAGACCTGTCTGATGTTCCACATGATGACTACGCTGGAACCTATTGACCCTATTTTGGAATCTCCGTTATCCGACCCGATGGCCAGACAAACGGCTGCTGCTTGTTCGCTACTTACTGAAATTGCAGGCACCAAAGTGGCTTCGGAGGGCATGTTGTTGGCAAATTTAGAAAAAGACGGTAATGGTTTTCGACGATCATTATTATTTAATATTTTTGAACTTACCAGTTCAAGCCGCCTTAATGTTGAAATGTGGTATTTAATTATCTACCGATGTGGTATATACAACTCTTGATTCATTGGCTAGATTAGGTTAGGTTCTGGACCAGGCGAAGTGGCTGCGTTGTTTCTAAATCGCTGTCATGATGTATTAAGTATTAGTTCATTGGTCAGTTTGATTTTTAACACAAGTCACTTGCAGATAGCGTTTTACCCTGTCTGGAAAGTTATTAGAGTGTTAAAATCAAGAAATTCAACTTATGTCGTAAAATACCGGCCTATTTCTGGCCTACTCTTTCCCCTAATCTTTACTAGACCTACTCTCTTCATTGTTCGAAATTATTCATAATATATTATTACAATAAATTATCAGTGTGCGTATTTGACGAGACATTGAATTTAACATGTGAATTAACTCAAATGTTATGCATAGTGCAGCCATGTTCCCGTTCATTACCTACTACGTTTTGAATAAGTCGTCGGTGTCCAATCCACGGGAAGTGGCTGTCAACGTGAGGAATACCACATTGAAGAAGTTCGATCCTCGAGCCATAAAGCACACTACAGACCACACGTTTGATCTTTTTACCGAAGTGGCTAACATTGTTTGCCCACCAATTAGCCAGACCAAGAGACCAAGAGGTCCACACACGGCTTACATAATTTCAGTTTACAAAGTATTCGACGGTGACGACAGTGAGAAATTCGAAAAACACTGGCTCTATTGGACGGGTACGTATAACGTATACAGTTGGGCATCATTCAATTGAAAAAAAATAGTCGGTTTTTCGAAAATCATTATTTTATAATAAATACTCCACCTTTATAAAACGTATTTATGATGTAATGACAGAGGTAGAATGATAATTTTGGTAATAGAATAGTATCAAAAATGTAGGCAAGATGGTATGAGTGAGTTAGAAAAAGAATATGATTTAGACGGAGACAGACGGGTAATTGGAGGGAAATGAAACTGAGGGATAAGAGGGGAAAGAACCACTTGTATTGCTAGGCTTCACAGATAGTGTTATGAAGTTTCGGAAGAAAGAAAAGGAGAAGTTGAATGAGTACCAGTACAATTACTGGAATTCGTCAGGTGATCAACATGACATTATCCGAAATGCTAGCACGACCAGAGAACCCAAACGAATTTGATTTAATATTAAATTGTATATTTTATTAAAGTTTGCCCAAAGCCGAATGTATAATATTATGACAGCCAATATTAAAATGTCGGACGTGTTCATTCGATTCAGGTGCACGCATGATCTACAATTATTTACCGAAATCAGCTGGTCTCAGAAGAATAACATTGCATAAATCACAATCGAACGGCGACAAACAGTATGTGTTGATGTGTGAATGTGCCAATTTATTGCAGAACTTTACATCGGTCGCCAAACTACTGCCAGCTCTCAAAGCTAGATTGTGCGGTTGTACTGGAGTATATCGGTCTATATTTATAATTTAAATATTTCAATAATCTCTACATATCTCACCGTTTTTGTTCACTCGATGTCCAAAAACTATTCCTTGGGCATAAATTATGTTTTTAATGATAAACCATAAAACTATTCGAGTCGTATTATACTCGCGTTCCAAAAGAAAAAAAGATATATAATTATGGTGAAAATTAGAGATAAGAACGTTAAAGGGAACAGAAATCAAAACATAATTTTATGATAATAAAGACAAATACGCGTAGATACATTTACAATAAAATTGTTTTATTATGATTCGAAAAGCAGAATAAATATTTCCGATATTGGGCCTAAAAGGCCATTTTTATTGGTTTTTTTTAAATTAAATATAAACATTTTTATAATACATATAGGTACGTAACTAATTTTTTAGTAAATAAAAAAATCGCTATTTTGTCCCCTATAGAAAAGTATTAATTGTTAAACTTGTGTAAATCTCGTTACAAATTCAATAAACGCCTTACAGAAAGTGACATCTACGACAATAATTTTTTATTTCGATTAAACATTTACTATATAAACAAATACATTGAAAAGTTATGTAAATCGTATAAATCAGCAGCAATTTACTCTATTCTTATACCCTTATTGGCATACTTAAAATGCTTCCTAAAACAGTTTATATCAAAAACTGATTTTATTTTACTTCTATAATATGATTTTCTGTTCCTTTTAAGGATCTTATTGAGAAATATACTAGCAAGTAATAACTTTAACACATATATTATACATCGAGGTAAAACAATTTATGCTATTATATAAAGTGATAATCATTTTCTGGTATTACACGAAGAGATGTACCAACGTAAATTAATACTGTTTAGTGGGAGAAGGGGAAAGGATTTAAACTATTATAAACGTCGGGTTTCTATAAGACTTTGGTAAATTTAATGGTTCATTAATAATAGTTAATGAACCAATCAATCACGAGTTCCTATCTATTTGATGGATAAAGCACTACCTACTAAATGTTTTAAAGATCCGTTACATTTTTAATGGATTTTCATGGTACCCGATATAGTAGTTATTATTATTATTAATTATATTTGGAAATTCAGGAACAAGAATTATTTATACCACGTAGAAGAACTCTTATTTAAAAACGTCAATAAAAAAAAATATAATTTTGAATGTACTATTGTTTAAATTGTATAGTTTTTAAAAATAAAGTTTTGAATCAATATGGATACAAATTTGTTGAGATGTTGATTTTAACTTGAAAATGTCGGAAGTTTTTTAAAGTCTTAGATCTAAATTAGAAATAAGAAATAAGATTAAGAAAATCTTCTATTGTAAAATTTAGTTATATTACCATTTACTTGTACATAAAATTTGTATTTTTTCCAATTTATTTATTGTTTATTATGTTCTGTTTAGTACAAATATATTATCCGTAATGGAAATTGTTTTAAGCGAAATGAATTATAATTTTTTTTTTTTAGGCTTTAGTACAAACCTAATAATTATATTTGGTCTATCTACCACGCTATTCCATGAGGGCGTTACCCTTATTATACTTTTTTTATGTAAAAAAACATGGTCACGCAGATTGTTTTTGTTTAGACTTCTGAATAGTTTAAGAGTAGCCTATTATTAAATCTGAAAAATGTAATGTTTTTGAATACGTTTTTTATAATTTAAATATCCAAGTATTAGAGCTATTTAAATTTTTTTTCATAAAAAAATTAGAAAACCCTTTCAATTTATTAAAAATCTGCCAACGTACAGCCCTCAGAAATATTCTATTCTATATTATGAAAATGGGTGTTTTTGCTCTTAAACCATCATGGATAGATCATGTAGAACAGTTTATGAGTAGCAATGTTTAGGTTAGCAAAATATTTAAAAACGTTATTTTGACCGCTGTGATAATAAATAGAAAACACAATACTAATAATGAACCCTCGTTGCTGTACTAATAAATAATGTGCTTTTCTTTTCTTTATTTTTTCTTAAATATTGTCTCAACAAAACTCCTTACAAACAGTCAGCATGCAATCCCCTTAACACTACTAGCTACAAGTATTTTGACTGTTCTTTTCAAATGTATTTCTAGCCGCTTGTCAATAAGTTCAAGTACGAAAATTTGGTATTAAAATATTTCACGAATTCACCGAAAACAGCCGCGCACGCTATCAAATAACGTTGATGTTATCACACACAAACCACTGTTATCAGCTACATACCTATCTAGATAACCGTGGTGATAACGCACAGAAGATATTGTGTGATAACCATGATAGACTTAACAAATGGTGATAACAAATTTGAAGTTGTCGAGCCATCCGTAAAATTATTGTATTATGTAATTTTATTTTATTTTTATATGAATAGTAATAATTCATATTGTTATATTGGTGATAATATCTAACAGAAAGACAGGATTTCGATTCCTTCAACATTAATACAATTTAAAAATATTTTGAGTTATAATTATATTATTAAAAATGATGCGATACGATGAAGGCGTTCTTAAGGACAGTAGACCCTGTGCTGGTGTCAGAGCCGATTTAAAAATGTGTCTTTTGGTAACCGATTGCTGTAAAATTGTAAGTGTCGATAAAATAGTCCACTGAACAGATTTAAATTAATATTTTTCTATTAGGAAAAAAAAACTCCCAAACAGTGTTTATTAGAAAAAAAATGTCCTCCAGAATGTTTGGCTTTACAAAATACTTTTTTTGAATGCAAGAGATCTATTGTAAGTATAAAATCCAGTTATTTTAGTTTGATAAATTGATGAGAAAAAAAACTGTGTACTTTCAATAAAAATTGTTAAAAAAATCATGTAATAGAATTAAATGTTTTCTTTTGTGGTTATAATCACATAATAATAACTAAAAACAATAAGTATTATATATTTATAATACTTATTTTTACCTATTATTATTCAAGCAACTTAACTAACTCAATTAAAATTGTTTCATCTAATATTTTAATAAATTCATTATCGAAAAATGCATGTATAATTTCTAAATTGTATTATTATTAAAGTCAAACTATATAGTCTAAAACTAAAAGTCAAAATAGCGCACCTATCATTCGACTTTTTTAAAACAATTTTACTGTAATGAAATGAGAAATATTATTTATGTTTATTTGTTATAGCCAAATACTTTAACCCTAAATATAAATTTTAAGAAAAGGAATTTGTTTAATTTAAACATTAATATTGAGTTCTTTATTCTGTTTCATTGTTGTAACAATAACTTTATTTTTCAGTTGGATAACAGGCAAAGATTTCGTGGACGGAAGGGCTACTAACATTATGGATATGCTATTATGTATATATATTTTAGTTTGTCAATTATATTAAGCTAACACTTACTCAGTATGTTATTTTGCAATACATTTTATTTATACTGATTACAGTGTTTTTTTGTGTAAATAGTTTTAGATTGTTTATTATAAAGTATAAAAATAATAAATCAATGGAGAACAAAAATATAATGTAGTTACTAATTAAATATGAACTAATAATAATTTGTGTATAAATATCCATTAAAAGTTTAATAAGTATTTGCGAATATTTTTATAATTTTAACAATTAAATACTTTTTAAAGAAGTACATATTAGAAATCACAATAAATTACAAACGTTATATATTAATGTATTGCTGTACACAACAAACACAATTACCAAGAAAATTGAAAAAAAAAAAAACAAATATGTATAGTTTTTAAATAAGTAATATTAATTACTTATTTTTTTCTTTTAAAATTCCACATTTCGTTAGCAAATAATTTTTGTTCATCAGTTCCTAATTCTTTTACAAATGGAACGATATCCAATAATATATCTTTAGGTGATTCGTGTACGTCTCGAAACCATTGTCTGACATTTTTGTAGATTTCTACTTGATTGTTGTACTGAAAATGTTTTGGTTTCACAATCGATCTAAAAGACTTGACGGGTTTTTTATTAGCCAACATCAGTCCTCTAACAGCTACTGAAAGTGATGACAAACTTATTTCATATAACGATACACCAAACATGAAATTTGAACTCATGATGACATCAGCAGCGCTTATTGCATCCGCTCCTTCGCAAACGTCGCTTAAACTTGAAAAACGAGATAAATAGTTTTCTTGTAGAAAACCTAAAACTGTTGTAGGCTGCATGGCAAAATTTTCGGCAATATAATCTGGATTGTGGGTAAATTTGAATTTGAGAGGAGAATCAATCGTTTCTTTTTTTGGGTATATGACACGTCCGATAGAATGAAATAGATCGAGGTTTTCATCCTTGGAGTTGGAAGAACTCTTGATGACTTTGTTTTGAACATTCATACAAACAAAACTTAAATTTATGATAGATGACCTTAAGTCGCCATTAGTTTCGTCATATATATTGTTCAATTCCGATGAACTGGGTATTCTTATAAGTTTGTTGTGTTGCTGTTCGGCTTTAACTATTTGCCCAAGGACGGACAAAACTGATTTTCTAGTAATGGAATTAAACTTGATTTGTCTTATTTTTAATCTATCTACTACATCTCCGGGGAAAAGATCTCTTATAACTTTTTCATTATTTATGACAAACACAATTGGGAATTTCGAAGCAGAATTAAACCTTGACATGATGTCTTTAAATTCCTCGGGTTTATCTAAAAATATATTCGGGAGATCTTTAACCAACAGAAACTGTCCGTTGGAATCGCTGCATTTCAAACTTCTGTACCTAGTGGCGCCCCATATGAAGTCTTGAAATTTATCCTGTATATTTTCTTGATAATAACCGTCGCTACACTGGTCGTAAATAGCTCCGCACGACATTGGCGTAACCCATTCTAGACACATGAATCCACATTGTTTAGCGATTAAACGAACTGTTGTCGCTTTGGCACATCCTGAAGGACCAGTGACGAGTAAAAATTTATTACAAACTGAATTTTTTACGCTATCAAACCACTGTTTTACTTCTTTAATTTTACCAGAGTGCACGGCTAAATTACCAATTGTCTGCGGAGCATATTTTTCACACCAGGTGGACTTACAAACGTTTTTTTTCGAACATTGTCTTTTAGCATTTACGCCGGTTTTAGCTTTCTTGGCAACAGTTGGTTTGGGTATAACTGTGTTTTTTTCTTGGAAAAAAGGTTTAATCCATGCTTTTTTTTCAGGACTCATTTTCCAAATACCAACAACAATATTTAATTGAAATCAATAGACACTATAGTAATCGAAGTGGACTAATAACGCTAATGTGTGCAAGTAAAAAATATTTTATAAAAAAAAAAAAACTATTCATGATATCACAACCGGCAATATTTATGGTTTGTCTAAAAATTGTTATTGTAAAATATTTAATTTATATACGTTACATTATTGCGATCGGTGACTGGACCGTGTATAAATAATATTTTGCGTGGAATTTACTATTATTATTACCGGATGAAAATTTAAACGGTGACATGAAATAGAAATTAATTAATATACTATATTTCATAATACTTTTTTGAAATGTTTTCAGACTCAGTTTTTAATTATTAAATGTTGTTATCAAGTTTCTGCTTATCATATAATTATAGTTGATGATTAGAACAGATTTTTCACCTTAGATAATAAATTATTGTTTTTTATCGTTATCATCCATGATTTTTTACTTCGAGTATTAACTATTAATAATACACTTTTAATTTGTATTATTTACTTAATAATATGATGATATAAAATACCTAAATCTTCTCTGTGACTTTAGCAATTAATAGTCCAATTGCTTCCATTTTATAGTAAGGTATTTCTTAAAGATATTATTACAGATGTACAGTGAAAACCCAAAATAATTCATTAACCCTTTCCCCAGAATGGGTAGAAACTTTTTTTATTTCCCCTTTTCGATTGTGGTTAGGACTTATAGGCGCAATTTAAGGGGAGTTTAAATGTAATGCTTAGCACCTCTAGTTTTTTATTTAGCACCCCCAGCCCCAAATTGTACCATTAGTAATATGGAAAGGAGAATTTTTAGTGCTTAAGTACTCTCTCCTCTTTTTATGTTAGTGAAATTTCGTCCCTGTTAAAATAGGATACGAGGTAAAAAATTAGACTGTCCCGCTATTTTATTGAAAAAAATAATGATTATAAAACACATTTTTTGTAAATTCAGAATTGTCTAATAGTAACTAATATATGACACTTGTTAAGAGTTAGCAGTTAACTTAGCAAGCTATTCTTTAATACTAAAGATGTATCTTAAACTTAAGTTCAATTGAAAGTTAATCGAATGATACAGCAGTTATGATTGTTAAAGAAATTTGGCTTTAAGTAGTTTTTAAATTACGATTAAAACCAATGAAATTTAAAGAAAATTAATTTACAGTTTTGTTATATCAATTCAGGACGGATTTGTTCACATAGTCATTGAAGAGTATAATTATTAAAAAAATATATTAACAATAATGCCATAATATAGTTGAGATATAATTTTTATTGATTTATGTTGTTTGTGTACAATATATAGTTAATAATTTATAATATAATTGTTTATAACAATTAAAGTGTGGGTCTTGAACTGGAAGGAACAATTTTAAACAACATTATACTTAAAACTTGTATTATTTTATATTATACAAAACGAAAAACTGTTGTATACAGTTTACGCGTTACACGTTTGTATACACGTTCATCATTTATTATAATTATCATTAATAATAAGTGTGGCACAACCAATCGACACTAGTTACAAAAATTAATTTGTTTTACTCTTTACCCACTTAAAACATATTAGTTTTCATAATGCGATTGGAGTGACAATATTTGTCAACAAATATAATTTTAAATACATATCAATTTTTATAATAATAAAAAAAATTAGGTAAAAGTATTCCGAAGAGAATTCTAAAGAACATTAAAATCCTTGTTGTACCGAGCAAAATCCTTCTCAAACATATGACTGGTAAAAAAGTACACAATGAATGAGTGGCCGTTGACATTTTTCTTCATATTTAACTATTAGTTGGTCTATATCGTGGTCCAAATCTTCGCTTCGGGACAACTAAAACGGATCAAGTTATTATTAATATATATATTGAAATCAATCTGACGATTAAAACAATTACCAAAGTCACTAGTTCACAAATGAGAAATGCTCCGATAGTTGCTTCTTCGTGATTATCTTGAATGTCAATGTTAATTACATGAACTGGTAAATTGCCGAAACTTAAATTGTTGTCAAAATCTAAAACAAAATTATAAACAGCCATTGAATTTTCATACATAAATAATTTAAAAAGACATTATAATAAGTTAAGTATTCTCTATTGAGAATAATAATAATGATACAATAACTATTAACTGCTCACGTCTTTGAGTAAATCAAAAGATGTACGACTGCCACAAACTGATAGTACGTTCATCATCATATTTTTTTAAACAAAGTATAACATAAATGTTTTGCGTAAACATAAAAGACTGATTCTGTTGAACCTACTATTATCGAATAATTACATTTATGTAATAATAATAAATATTAATTTTCAACTGAGGAAAACACAGTAATACACAATTACTTACATTCAAGTACTTGATCATAAACTCTTTCTTCACAAGTAATGACCACAGTAAATTTATCGTTACATTGTTGAAACCTCTCGGGATGTTGTTTTATCCGTCGATTTCTGTCTAACATATTTAACAGACCATTTTGTGTGTAGCTATAGAATAGCAAATTAAGGCAAAAAGTACTCAAATAATTCAATGTAATACTAATGAGAAAAAAAGCACTAACTTGAAGCTGTAAGTCCCATTAGTTTTTTTTGGGGTTTAATAGTTGAAAAAGGATACTATGATTTATCTTTATTATAAAGATCTCTGTAAATTTCATCGTAAGAACATCCAAAATCATAAATATTCGGTTTATCAGGTGCTGTTCCTGGTAATTTTACTTTGTCACCTGTTCCAAACGATCTGACACTAAAACCTTTTTTGCTGAAAATAACAAAAAAACATTAAACATAAAGTAGTAATAAAAGCATAATTAACAGCAATGTGTAAAGTCATGCTGAGAAATCATACTGAATTAAAAGCTGGAATTTTTTAAAACTAAGTGAAAATCTTAATTATAGAATATTGATGCTGAACTGAATAGTAAAATATTCAACGCTTTTCAAAGCTAATGGGATATAGTGATATAAAGTTTGTATGATTTAGTAAAAGTAATTTAAAATAGAAAATGATAAAAATTAATAACTGTTGTGCCAAAATACTTTAAAACATACTTACAAACATTAAAATGATTTAACCTTAAAAGTTCTATTTCAAGATTTACGATGATTTCCTATACCAACAATTTGTTTTTAAGGTAAGTATTATTTTTTAAAATAAATGAAATAAAAAAATACCAACATAGTTATGACTTTTTATTAGGTACTATTATAACAATAATTAGTAGTAATATACTTTTAATTTGAAGTTAAATATTTATTTACACATTTATTGGAATATTATAAACCGTTACTTTAAATATTACCTTAGAAATGCATGCGCTTCCATACTTCTATTCATGTTGCTCGAACAAACTACAGCTATTTCAAACTTTCCAATCGACATAATTTAACCGGTTTTTCTATAATCTTGTATTATTATAGAGATAAAAATAGATTATTATAATATAAATTATATTAATTAATGTTCTTATAATTAATACTTACAGTTAAATTTTCAAAAACACAATCATTAAGCGATTAAACAAACAGATATAACTCAAATGTTTCAACCACTTATTTGTTGATTAACAAATAAAAGTAAAATAATACATATCAATTAACTAATACTTGATTAGCATAATACATAAGCGAATTGGCTTTTTAATTTTGAGATCATGTCACAGTAATATGTCTTTATACTATACTAATGTTTTAAAAAAAGTTATAAGCAACCGCCTGCCGGAAAGTAGTTATTTTTCCGTAGTGATTTTATAATATATAGATAGATTTAAATTCGCGATAAAAAATGATAAGCAACGTCTTATCAATGATGGTTAATGGTAACTATGGTAGACTATTAAATATTATACCATGGTAGTCCTGTATCACTTATAGTTTCCTTGGACAGTTTACTCGTACACCGCTGTTTGAATATAATTAGAATTTTTTATTTCTTACATAAGGTAGAGGCTATACTCAGATTTCAAAATTCCTTGTTTTTTTCATTTGTTAACTACCTAATTTAAAAAAAAGAATGAGGTGCAGTCAAATAATGATTTTTGAAATTGTTCTAAGTCAGTCCAAGATGAATGATAAAATAAGAACACATTAAATTTACATTAAAAATTAGAATCAGGTGTCAAATATAAAAGTTGAAGTCGTAGGAAGGTCGAGAATTCATCTCGCACATGTTTTAGGCTATTAAACGTTTGGAAAAATTGTAAAAAGTTATCACTTATTACGGATACTGACAAAAAAAAACATACTTAATTATTGTTTTAAATGTCTAACAATTAATTAGTGCTAAAAACCTATCTTTGTTTAATTTAGAACGCAAGTAACAAATTTATATTTAGGTATGATAAAAGAACACATCGCTGTAAAATCAATACCTTCTCAGCTTCGCATTGAAGCTAAAAAAGTCAATATTTATTTAAATAAATTATTGACGGAAAAGCTACAATATTTTAGTGCTACTATTTCTTCTATAATGTAGCTTTACTATTTTAATAATATATGAAATTTGTTGTACATGTTTTATACTATAACCGGGCCAAATAATTTGTTTGCGTTGTAAACAATCAATGACCTTTTAACTGCATTTAGTTCTTCGACGACTGCCCTAAGTCGTAACTTCAACAAAATATTTTCTTTTTCAATAAGGTACACCTTCAAAGCCATCTAAAACAAACGAATAACGATGCCATAAGAAATGTATGGTACGCAGTAAATAATAATTAAGACATATTATAGGTATCGTTTTTATTGTTACATTAAAAAACAAACAATTTTGAGAAGCTGAACCCTCCACGGCCATCCTATTTTCGCTTTTGGTGGCTTTTACCATAAATTATGAACTATAGACTCAAATAGTAGGGTTAGGTGAAATGATTTTAATAAGGGCTCACTTCATTTTCTCTCCTACGTTTTGCTTCTCTTGATTTTTTCGCTGCTATATTGTTTCTCATCCTTCGTTCGTAATACTTGGCGTCTTTTTTTTCACGTGGAGTGATTGTCTTCAAACGCCTATGCTGTGCCTCAGTTTCGAACAAATTACACTTTTCGGACATCCCTAGCCATGCATGGTCCTCTAAAAGTATGTATTTGTTGAAATCAAACACATCATTTTTTTAAAAATATAGCTAAATATAACATTATAAAAATAATAATTATAATACCCTCTTTGTTACTGAAACAGCACGAAAGAAAATCTGAGCGTAAGTGATTATGGTTTAAAATCAAAGAATCCATCCGGCGAAGCTTCACTGTAAAATGCGCATCCTTTACTAAAAATAGTCTTAACAAATATTTATAATTACAGTGTGTAGTGGCATTGTTTAAAATAAAACTGTAAAACTTGTAGAATGAAGTTTAGTCAGTATCATAATTCATAAATCCTATATAAAGTGTCTGTGATCATTTAAAAATACATGTTACTGTCATTTGACCGAAAGAAAAGTGAAACATATAATTTTACAAATTACAGTAGAGAATTTAAAAGTTTTCGAAAAAAAAAGTGATTTTCAACAACACAATCAAGATTGCAAAGATAATTTTTTATGTATGTCCCTTGTCCCGTCTTCTTTTGTAAAGTACTCGGACAACAATAATTCTCCAAAATCTACTATCTTGTCTTATCTCAGGAAATGTAAAAATTAACCGAAAAATAATCTATTCTTACCTGTGGAAGTAACAAACTGCCGTAAAGCTAACGTTAAAACGATTACTTGGTAAGTTCGCAGTGATTTTTACGATGTAGGTTCAAGAACGAATGTTAGCAGCGTTAACTGAAGCAGTGGTATATTTTTCGTTTGGAAACTATTTTATGATTTTTTATACTTAAAAAAAATGTACATTTAATTACACTTGTCTGCTTTTATTACTCGTGTGTATTATTATTATGCTTATATTAGCTGTTTGTGACTCGTTTATCACTTTACCTCGTGCCTTGCACGCGATTTATCAGTTGTGAAACCAAACACCATAATCATTTGTAATATTGTCTAAACTCTAAATTACCTTCAATAGGGGTTAGTTATTATTGTAATTTACTATTTTTTATAATGTTATTATTTTAATAATAATTTACCTGGGGTGAAAAAACTGAATACACGCAAATCAATGAAACATAGTATAATATAAAAAAAAAAACGTTTAAACAATATTTATTTACTTTATTTTATAAAAAATACAAGTTCAAAAGTACATAATAGCTTAGGTTATATAATTTGTAGGAAAAATAAGTTGATAAATATTATTAGAACGATAGTATTATTATGACTTAGTGTAGCAAGACTTCAGGGGACGCTAGACACTCGTAATTTGAGGCGTTTAAATTAAAAACTAGCCAAAACAGTTATTTTTAGTTTTTGGTAGTTTTACATTTTCGGAAAAATTTAGGTAATAGTACTATAATAATAGTAATAGTAATATTATAGGTTATTTACGTGGATTTTTGTTGTTGGATTCTAATGTGCAATTTATATAAAACATTTTTTTAAAAAAATTTCAATAACTTCTAAAAAAGTCAAGTATTAAATCACCGTACAAACAAATGCTTATGATATATACACTGTATAATGGAACACTGTAATTTTGGCTTTAAATTAAAATTCTTCGAAAAAATTGCCGATTTCTTAATAAATAGAGCATCATCTTATGTTTAATCCATAAATATATATATATATTTGTTGTTACTCGCTTATAAGATGTTACAGCCAAGATATGGAGTTCAATAAGTGTAATGTAATTATCGTTTTATATTTATTTATTGATTATTGATGTAAAATGTTTTCATTAAATTGTTTTACTAATACCATATTTTTTTTTTCGTTTTATTTTAACTCTAATGTCATTTTTAAAATTAAATAACTATATCGACTCTCGCAAGAATTTTAATTGACTTTTTTTTATTAAAAAGCTAATAAAACATTATTGACACTAAGCATTATTGTATTTATAGGGTTAGACCTTTATAGTAAATAGTGATTGTGTTATTTACGAAATTCGTAAAATTGATTTATTTTACAACAGCATGCCTCTAAGGCAAGTACATATTTTCAGACGTATTCTGCAACTATATGGTTTAAAATGCTGAACTTTTAAGTCATGTTCATCAAAATTAACGAAATTTTTGTTTTTATTTAGTTTTAGTTTGAATTTTGTACAATTGGGTAGCTATTATAATATTAAACATTTTAGTTTCAATACGAAGCTAAGGAGTTAATTTTTAAATAATGGGGTTTTTAGTTTTTTTTTTAAGTCTATTCACGGTAATAAACTGTCAGTATAAAACTAATTAGTGGTTACTTTTTAGGAAATTGGAAAAGAAAATCTTACATTTATGATAAATACAAGTACTTTTAAACAGTTCATGGCATCCCCTGTAATTGAACACACCTCATTTAAGGTTGTAAATGAAATCTACATTTATTACGTTTAACACATGATGTTGAAATTATTACGCACTTGATTTAATTTACTTGATATCAATCAAATGCAAATTGTATAACATATTTTATTTGAAATTCATATTTTATTTTTGGTACATAAAAAGTGTTGGTATCTATAGATCTACATCAAATTGTTTTTCACTATACAATACAATCTATATAAAATATACACAATCTAAGTATGAATACTGAAACCAATAACGAAAGGGAAAATAATAGTATAGGAACTCTCCTTAGGTATAAGTATACAAACAATAATAATAATTAACAAGTAACACAAATATAAAACGTTTTAAAAAATAATTGAATCGACGAAGGTCCGAATGGACGATGAGCCGTAAGAATAGTCTTTCCTCTTTATGTGCAACGTAAAATATATATTGTTCAAGATGACCTTTGTCGGCCGAACTTCAGCCACGTCTTTTGAGAATCGGGTCCATCTTTTTCGCGAATACATATATTACGTTTTGTGCGCTATAAATATAATTGCTTATTTAGTACGCATACTTGTTTGTTGTACAGTATAATTTGTAAGCCATTAAATTCATACTCACTGTGTTCACATAACGGTCCGAAATGGCGAGGCCCGCAGTGACACAAAAATCTAGAAAGTACTGGAAAACATGTGCCCCCGTTGAGACATGGGTCGTAGCCGCACGGAGCTCCGCGGTAGTGTGTCGTCCCTTGACTATAGCCTGAAGATAAGTTACAAGCCTTTTCGTTTAATACTATCCTCTGGATCGCCCCGGAGAACGGTTGGATGGCCGAGGGTTCTTGATTCAATTGTATAGTTGGCCTGAAACAATCAATAAAACAATTACCGACGACGCTCCAGTAAATACACACGATGATGTTCTTTCTCACGGTACTCCTCCTATGTACAAAGGAAGTTCCAAGTTCAATTCCACCAGAGGCGAATTCGAGTGCCCCGTCGTGATGTTGCCGTCGTTGAGCTGGACAGACGCTTGATTATCAAACCTCTTTATTTTCAACAAATTCCATTGAGGCAACATGACGGTTTTCTCTCCGGTCCTGAAACAATTCGAACCGTTATCGATTTCAGTAGTTTTGCCAACGTTTTAGACAGGCTCACGTGATGCTTGCTCTCCCACTGCCCAAGTCGTACGATAACGTCACGTGTCCGTCCGACAAGTACACAGCGATAAAGTCGCCCTGGCCTTTTGAAGACTGTCCGCTGTAGAGCAGCAGACCGGATTTAGTCGAAGTTCCAAACCAAATTTCCAGATGAGTGTTCCTCCGAAGATCCTCAGACAACGGTAAGCCGATAAACGAATCTTTACCGTTGAATTCGGGCGAGTAATGCTTTTCCAGCAAATCGTGCTCGACTGCAATTATAAAGATTAATTTAATTATTATCACTGTCGCCGACGACGACCACGATACTAAGATACGGTACATTTGTCGCAATTGGTGCCGGTGAGACCGGGCAAGCAAAAACAAGCGTATCTGCCACCCGGCAGGGACTCGCACGTGGACCCGAAGCTACACGGTTCCGAGGAACAGGCCATGTTGTCGTAACACATTTTGCCTAAGTCAAGAAAATGGTTTCAAATAATAGTAATTTATTGTTTTTCAATATTAAAAATACCTGTACAACCGCAAGTACCGTTCGTACAACTTTTCTCACATTCGGTAACGCCTACTGATTTCGTCACCAAGTCGCTGTCTTCAAATCCCAACAGGTTGACCAAATAACGTCCAACTTTCATGTTGTATATGCATCCGATCAATCCTGATTTCACACCGATGTTCTCGAACACTCTGTTTAAACCATATTAGTTAGCAAACTACATAGTGTAAAGCGTGTCGTATGTTATTAATGGTTTTACTTCTTATGTGGTACCGGCACGTATCCCACGTAGGCGTTATCGTTGAGATCTAAAGATCTCAGTGAACCCATAGACACCGAGCGCACCGGTTCGTGGTCTTCAAACTGCAATAGGCCGTCCTTCTGGTAACGCTTTGCAATGATCTTGTGCTTGCTACCTATTGTAATCGGATGCAGCGAGGTTAGAACTACGGCTCCGTTGCCCAGATTGTATTTGAACTCGACAAATCTGTAAATATTTCAAAATCAAAGAATTAATTAAAACAAATTCCTAACGTGACTCGCAGTATTGGAAAAATTATTACTTGTTGACTATTGCTATTGATATAAAATCACCAAAGCCGTCCGATTGTTGTTGATCGTACAAGAGAATGCCGTCTCCGGAAAAACTTTTAAATTCCATTTCTAAATTGAATCGGTGGTAGGCTTTTAATTTTTTTAGCTGCACGTACGAGTGACCGTTAAAGGCGGCTGCTTTGATTTCTAGTAGAAATTATAACGGTGTTCAGTTTGAATATATGTTTTATACATTACCATGCAAAATAGACGTGAAACTATAATTTAAAAAATGATTCACCTTTAATTTCTTCCGGGTTAGAACACACATTACCACTATACGCCGAAGGACAGTGGCACTGAAATCCATCGTTATCCAATTCTTCACATTCGCCGCCGTTTTGGCACGGGTTGGGATTACACAGAGAGATGTCTTGACCGGTCGATTCCGGAGTCGTCCTTCCGGTTAGGTCTTGCACTTCGGGTATGGAATCAATTTGATAACCACTCGACGTGTTGTATGACACTTTCGGAAATTCGGAAAACAATAAATGTCGAGTAGACTTGGACATGACGGTGTCTTGAGACTGTGTGTATCTCGGTCCTTCCGTACCGGCAACGCTTTCATCTGTTAATGGTTAAACAATGTTTTGACCGGAAACAATAAAATACATATTGCTACAATCACATATCAGCGAGTTACTACCTTTACACGAAGTGTGTGATTTAACGACAATGTCTTTTTGATATCGACACGCGTACAACTTCAGTTGACATTCCGAGCTGTACGTTTGTCCGTCGCTGCCACATACCAGCTAGAGACATGTACCGTTGAATTAGATTATACAAAACGAGAACACGATTATAGTTCAATGTGCAGGGTGATTAGTGAGTAGTTTACAATGGTTGTATTTGCCCTACCGTAGTACGAATCGCGTCTTCGGCACAAGTAGCTCGACAAAGGCATACGGGTTTGCCGTTGTTCATTTCGCATACTCCGCCGTAATAACACATCATTAGGTCGCACGTAGTCAGATTTCGCTGGGCCATCATATCAGCTAGAAACGGTTTAAATGTTGATAATACCGAATAAAATATGACCAGATTTCGTCGCACTCTACCTGAAACACATCCGGCAGGACTCAGGACTTTCGAGGTGTCTTCGCACGCATTGCACTTTGCTCCCGTAGTCCCGGGCTTGCATACACACCTGCCGGTCATTTGTTCACAATCGTCTCGGACTGAACCCAGTAAAGAGCAGCCACAAGCTATATGATCCGTTTTGGATTATTTAAAATTTTAAATGAAAAAAAAAAATGTATGTAGCGATACTTACGCATACATCCGAGATGACTAGAAGATATTTTCGGAAGTCCCCAATATCCGGGTTCACATCTATCACATTTTTCTCCGCCAACTCCAGACTTGCAAACGCATTTCCCATTATCACACTTTTCAGATACCGACCCTAAAGTACAGCAACGTGAAAAACAGAATGATGCAACAGTGAATTTAAGTGAACACACAATTTAAAATTCTCACCTAATTTGTTACAATTGCACAACGACGGACAACCCAGGTGATTAGGTCCTTTTGCAGGTGTCTTTTTATCGGGACAGCATCCGTGGGATGAATTTAGACAATCCAATGGCAAAACTGTGGCATCTACGAGGAGCGATAATTAACGTGACAAAAATACAGTGTGTCATGGCTGGTAAAAACATTATTTCTTTACCTCTATCGAATTTGTCACAACACTTGGCGAATCTAGACGTTTGATGACAATAGCTACTCGGTGGGCAATCCTGTCTATTAGGTCCATTGCCACAATCTAATTCCTTTCTATCGAGTGGATTAATCAGAGGTTTTTTGCCGTTACACGGTTTAACTTCCATGCCTTAAAAAATGAAATTTAAATATAAATCGATTATAGGTTTTTCGGGGGGGGGGGGGGGGTAGGTTGGGGTTTATAACACACCTTGACACAGTTCCATGGGTCTGAGACGGAGTTCTTGCTGCCTTTGACACCCTTCCATTTTCATCAGACATACTGAATTATAAACTCGAAAGTCCGAACCGCAAACTGGGGAGTTGTTAATTGAGCAATTAAATATGCAAGAACATCTGGGGAAACCATCGGGTCCGACTTCGCAAGTAGCGTCGAAATCACATTTTATGTCTCGACAAACGTCGTTGTTACTGTAAATACTGTTTTCAAATGTCCCCCGCGGGCCAAATATTTTACCTATGTATAAGCGTTGTGGTATTGCAGTTTTATTAAAAACTTTTTTTGTGTTTCATTTGTAATGCCCTGGTATGTCTATTCTTACCTATTGACGAAGATTCCTTGCAATCGCCGTAGAATAGAATTGTCAAATTATAAGTACTGTTTTGTACGCAAGCTTGTTGGAGAAGTTCACATTCACTATTATATGTGACCAAATTTGATCCACATACCGGTTCTGCTGATTTCGAGTCCACACATGTTTTAGAACAATTGCATTTCTGATCTTGACATGACCCTAAAATCATTTAACGTATGTGATTTCGAGGTAAACAGTACGAAATCAGAGAATTAATCACTATACCGCATTCGCCCGTGTAAGCAACGGATATCTTCTTCCTTGTTGCACAACTGGCATTTTGTAGATGACAAAGGTCGGTGTACGTGATACCGTCGGAACCGCAAACTTTATCGCTTGTCTGAGTACATAAATAATTAAAGTTTCAGTTAATTAACTGGTAGAGGTTTTCAATGGGTTTATAGAACTGTAATGCTTTTGTGTAACAGTAATATTAAATGTTTTTATTTTATTGCTTGGAATTGTAGTTGTAACTCGTCAGTTAAGATAACATTTGAAACAGTTCAAAAACTACATATAAAAAAAAAACTAAGTCGTAAAATACAGCTTTATAATAATAATAAAAAAAAAGTTGTACTTTCATATTTCTAGTTGCATTTATTTTTCTATATTATAGTAAAATTAGTAAACTTATTTTATTCCAAGAATCTATTGTTTTTTTTTTGAGCACAACACAAAACAAATTGAAGTTAAAAATAAAAATGTATTTCGTGTAGGTATTTGATTATTTTCTTGAATTGTTTGTGTGATTATAAATTATAAGAGTTTACTTACGTTTGAACATTTGAATGTCGGGCAAACACATTTCGCTTCGGTACCGTCACTTTCGCAAATAGAATAATATTGGCAATCCATTCCCGAACAATCGCCTGAAATTATTCAACTCGATTGTTTTAATGTGGATTCAAGTAAATCTTGGTTTTGTACTTACTACAAGCGCCCTTATGAGAAACATCTATTATTTGTTTGTGCTGACAACTATGATATTTTAACTTGCACTCATTGCTATATGTGTTGCCGTCAGTCCCACACACCGGCTCGTGATGTTCCGGGCACGAAGGACACGCACAGACCGCTTTTTCATCGCTCAATTTACAATGAGCGCCAAAATTGCATGAATAGTCCTTACAAGGACTCGTTTCGCCTAAATTAGCAACGCAATTAGCTCAATAGCATCAAACTCGACGGACTGTACTTTACCACAGGGTCCTTCGTAGGCCATTTGGACGCCAGATTTAGAATTGCAACTGATGCGATCTAAGTGACATTTCGATTCATACGTATGACCGTCTGTACCGCAGATGGGTCTTACAGAATTTTCGCATAGAGTCGGATCTGGACACCGGCACTCAGCAATACCGAGCCGGTTGATAGTACAGTGGGATCCTTCCCAACATGTGATGTTCGTGCAAGGATTTACTCCTGGGATAAAAAAGAAAAACGCTATAGTAGTGCATAGTCAGAAATGTTGAAAGTGGCAGAGGATTATATTTTGTTCGTTCTACCTTGATCGCATTTTCCGCGAAAGATGATTCGTAGGTCTGGCATCGTTCTACAAGCCTGCCGCCGCAAAAAACATTCATTGGAGTAAGTTTTACCGTCGGATCCACAAACTGGGTTGAAATCTTCGTTGCAGAATTCTGAGCAAGCGCATGTGGCTTGTCTGTTAAAGTCCAGACGACATACTTCGGGATTTTCACAAGTGATATGGTCGCAGGGATCTAAAAAATATAATATCTTGTCATAATATATTATGTATTTATCGATTAGTGAATCACTAAGCAGTTCACCTAATACAATTTTAATGTTTTATACTTTATAAAATTGTACCCATTAAATTATTCATTAAAGCCTGAATTACGAATTCTTACGGGTTAGTGTTGTATAATATATTAGCTATATTTATTATTAACTCATGACTTTCAAAAGTTACTGCCACCTTTTTTTGAAAAGAATTTATACTTGAGGAATTATAGGACTGAATTCAGAGATTAGCGAAAGATACAGCTAGTATTATAAGTATATACATAAAGATATATTGTTTACATTGCTTACATTTTACTAAAAAAATATAATACCGTCCAAAACAAACTATAAATGACCTAGCGAAATTCATGGAAGACTATAAAAAAAAAGTTAAATGTGACTTGGCTCGCAAAATCTAGTATACACTAGTATTACACTTAGGTTTTAGAGTATAATAATAACAATTAAAACGAATACGATAAGTAATTAAATTAGTAATAATTACCACAGGGTCCTTTATATTTAACGATTATATTTCGGTTGAGTAAACAAGCTTCTCTCTTCATATGGCACACGCTTGGATAATTTCGCAAGTTACTTCCACATACTTGATCGATTGTATTACTATTTAAGCATTCACTTTCAGCGTAACACTCACAACGTGCTTCTCCTATTTTGTCTAGTACACAACGTTGTCCGTGAGAACATGCTATCGTTCTACAAAGATCGTTTCTTCCAACTAAAACAAATATGTATATACATATATAAATAATATGAATCATTTATAAAATATATATAATTATTATTTATCATATGATCAAATTGGCCTTATAATTTAGTTATTATAAGTATATAACCTCATTAGATTCATAAATTCATTTATCATCATAAATCACTTAAGTAGTGTTCATTTAATTGTGGTGTTTATTGTTATTGTTTTATTGTTAAATTTTAATTTATACATTTCTTGGTTTAAAGGCTGTATTGGTATATGTCTTTAAAAGATATGGAGGCATCTCGAAATTATCACGTTTGAATTCTTGAAAGTTTTAGCACTTTCATAGAAGGATTTTTTTAATAATTTACCTCAATTATAACTGTTATGGGTTTACGATAATCAGTGTAACGTCAAAATATAAAAACAGTTTTATAAAGTAAATTTGATATGATGTTGTTTATTTATAATTTATATAATGTTGAAAGTTGATATAGTATGATACATTATGAGTATTAAATACTTTATAAATAAATAATTGTCAAATTAACTATAATACATATTATAACAGTAAAAACAGTAAATATAACTAAAACGTATTTTAAAATGTGTTAGAAAAAAACTTGTTATCATTTTAATAAACCTGATGCTAATATATCTGTACTTTGAATTTAAAATACTACTTACTTTTTAAAGCAATTAGTTAGATTTCGTATCTTATATCATACATTTTATGGTGTTTGGACAAAAGGGGATAAGTCAAAACTATGTTTTTTTTTCATTTAAGTAAATGATAAGAGAAAATAAACAACATTTTTACATAAATTCTGAGCAGGCTATCTAGTTTTCATAGACGTTTGCGCCTTAACCGCGGTTTATCATTAGTGAAAAGTGAGGCTGACCTAATTTTGACATAAGAAAATACATACGATTTTCACTTATCCCCTCCTTATTGACCGACAGAATTATTAAGAAAATGTTAAATTGTAAGCAAGATATTTCAATGAACAGACATATTTTTATCATTCTTAAATACGACGTCATTCGGTAGGGTTGAACTCAACGTTCGGGTCACCCAAAATGTCGTCCCATTGCGTTGGAGTCATGGCCTGGACCGGAATGGTTTCGATAATATCTTTCATCCTGTTCAAACTGTTTAGCAAATGGTGCTTGATGTCATCGTCGGGCAAGTTCTGCACGTCTTGGGGTAACACCACTACGGGCTCGGGGAACGACAGCGTCTCGAAATAAGTGAACTGCGGACCGGGCGTACAGTGGTGCTCCACCCAGTCGTATACCATGGCGGTGATTTCCTGTAGGTTGCTGACCAATTCCACTTTGTTGCCGTCGTCGTCCAACTTGGTCGTCATGAGTTTGACGTGCCAGAACAGCTTGGATATGGGACTGAGACGTTCGCCAATGATGGCCAGCTTGTCGATGAACCCTTGCAGAATGTTCTTGAACGTCGCGAAATGCTGCGCGGGATCGCTGATCTCGCGGTTGATCACCTCGGAAAGCAGCAACGAATGCAGCGACACGTGCTTGGACGCCATGCACCTCATGGAGATTTTCACCACGCTGACCGCGTAATTGACAAACGAGCCCACGAACGAAGAGCTCTGCAGTATGTCTTTGATCATCAGGAAAGGGTCGATGATGTTGTCGCCGGGCTTTTCGTCCGCCGCGTCCGGTTCTTGTTCCCTCAGGAAGTCGATGTGCGTCGGTTTCGTCGGTCTGATTACCTTTTCCCGGAGTACCGGATCCCATTCGTGGTCGACTTTCATGATCTCTTTGAGAAACTGAAATTTCGTCTCCGTGGTGTGCGGCACCGAACCCAGCATGAGGTCGTAGATTCTACCGTTGGTCCGCGTCGACCGGGACAAGGCCAACAAAATAAATAAGAAACCATTAACGTGGCGCATTGCTCAGCGGCGGCGCTTTTTATTATTTCGCACGTATAAAATAGGCCGTTACACTACCGCGAGACTGTATCAACTATGAAAACACATTTTTTTTTTTTTTTTACTGTAGCAACTGTTATAGCATTATCGCACAGCCCTAAAAAGCTCGGCGTCATGCGTTCGATACACAGCAACACCGAGGCGGCGCAACGTTTGTTTAAATCATCTAGACAACCGAAAACGCAAATATTTGAAGCTCAAAAAAAACCAAACAGAGTACGTTTCACGCAAGACACCTTTAAAAACACTATTGTGTGAAGTGAAACCGAGCCAACTAAGTGGCAACAGTAAATTAGGTTGTACGAAATAACGTACATGTAGGTAACTTCAGTTCCCGTTTATCATAACACCGCCGTTGTACAATTCAGCTGCGCATATATTATTTTCTTAAATAAATAGTTTTGTTTTTATTTATGTTTTGTAGGTTAATAGAAACAATTTTGTAAATCGCTACAATAACAAGTGCGTACAATCGAGCATAGAAAAACCGCATTTCAACGATTTAAATGTTTAACAACATTAAATATTTTCAGTTTTACTATATCGTTCGCCTTTAATCCAGCCATATAGTAAAAAAACCGGTAACTATTGCCGCCATTTTGATTAAATATCACACCCGATCAAAATTACAATATTGTATAACAATCACTGTAACCTAATCGCAGAATCAGAATCGCGCATTATAAGAAAACGGAAAACCAAAAAGGGGAATCCAAAATCTTAACCAGAACTCCAATTGAATGATTTACGGTTAATATAAATGGTGGAAAGTTACAAAAATTTAACAAAAATTACATTTACAAAAAAAAAAACCGGTTTTTTTCGATTTCAGTTGTATAATATAACTTGTTCCTATACAGACTAGCCTGAACTTAACAGTACTCATTGTTATAATACCAATAAATAATAATTTTAAATGTGTATTAGATTAAAAAAAGTATAGTTTGTCTTATTTTTGTACATAAAAACATGATAGGTTTTTTAGACCAGATCAGACAGAAATTATTGTTACCTTCATCCGCAACCGACCGACATTGAACAACCCCAAAGCTATCGAGTAGACACTAATAGACCTATTAAATTCCAATCACAGATTAAACAATATATTTTGTGTAAATAATGTTTGTTTTCTTATTACGCTTAATACAAAAAAAAAAAAGAAGAAGTTAAATGTTATTTCGATTAATAGAAATTCGATTAACATTTTTAAAGGGTTGTTGTTACATTTTATGGTATTTATCGTTACACAGTTTAACTTTAGTACATTCGTAAAAAACATGTAAAATCATTAATTTTTTACTGGTCTTTTGTGCGGCCATTAGTGTTTCTAGTGTTATTAAAAAACGTTGTCAATCGACAGCTTTTATTGATGTCTACATCAAGTGTATACGTACGAAAAAATATACAATTATATTTTCCAGTTACAAATCATTTGCAGATTTTCAATTGCTTTTTCCGCCCCTAAACATTAACATTTACGACGCGGCTGGATAGGACAAACGCAATTAACTTTTTCCCTACCAGTTGTATCCGCTTCGGGATCTGCTGTTGCCAGCCCGTAGGATAAAAACATTGGGGGGGAAAAAAAAATGTGTATAGATACAGACGTTACTATTTTATACACGCCTACTCGCTAAGCTCTTTGATCCCACAGAGTATAAACAGATTAAACGTTTGATTGTTCTGGAATGCACACGCCAAAAGAGATTATTGTGTTCCAACAGCATAATACGCATTCCTTATAAAACGGGACACTATCAACTAGAAAGCATCGTGTACCGCCATCGAATTATCCGAGGGACGGTAGAGGAAAGAAAATCCTTTGGATTATCATTTTTCTCATACTATAAAAGAGGTCAAAAATTCGACAAGATCGTGACCAGCAACCGCAAGTACACTTGACGTAGAAAAACAACATGCCTACCGATGCCACCACGGTTATAATAACAAATACCGTCAACTTAAATTTATTTTGAACACATAGTTTTTATAGTGAAAAAAAAAACAAATTGTACAATGTTAAGGTTATTGTTTGTCGACGGTGTTAGGTCGAAAAACACCTAAGGTCTCACAGTGTTTTCCAAACGAACAGACTGTATAGCAATTCAAAAATCAACAACGGAATAGTTACAATGTTATGTCTATTGAAGACCTGTTGAGTTATAAGTTGTAGGAGAAGAGGGTGGATGTCATAAATAAAAGACAAGAAGATGTGTGTAGTGAAGATCTAAATAGTGATGGATCGAGAGAGTTTGGTCTGGTCGCTCCCATTTGTATGAGATTCGGGTTAAAAAAAAATAAGATCAAAATATTAGGTGATGTACCCCACTATTTGTTTTTAATGATTTTTTTTGCCTGCGATACAGCTTAGAAAGATACAATATATAAGGACCAAGCGGCTAATCCCGTGAAATAAAAATGTTTATATTTATTTATTTATAATATTATTTTATCGCAAAGGCAGTATGACAGAAAGAACCTATAAAATGTAGGATAGACATTATATCATGTGAATGAAGAGCCATTTCAATTTTGATACAGCTTTTCATGACGTTTCCCTTCCTTATCGTGCATATTTGTTTTACGATCGAATTTTAACTGCCTTTGAAAGTAAAACACGGAAAACCAAACCGTCCACACAATGTCCTTTCGATCTATATACACTTAAATGTAAGTATCGACATAAAACCGTTAACCACAAAAAAATAATACTGAATAAAAAAACCCAATAAAATCCACAGCAAAATTGAGATTATCACCGGACCATATAATTTTATACGGTGCAATTTTATCGGATATTTCTTATTTTTTGCCAAGTTTTAAAATTCGACTAGATGACGGTCGCGGAATTTTTTTATTTTTATATGTATACCACTTTAACTTAACATTGTTGACCATGTTTTTTTCAAAATAAATAGTATATATAAAATTAAAAAGTCGTTTTTTTGCTTTAGTAGTTAATTTTTATTAGGATAATGACTTATAAAATATGTGATGTTTAATAATTAGGAAAGTTAACCATCGGTTGTCAATATTAGTAAGCTAAATATAAAAATGGGTAGTTATGTGTTAATTTTGTGCAAGTCCAAGATTTTATAGAAATCTTACAAGCTCTATTTTCTCTATATCATAATCGATACGATCGATTTTTCCGCATACTAAAATTCAATGTATTTACCGTTGTCCCTATTAAATGTAATTAATGTAGTAAAAAGTAATCTTATTTAACTATTTTCATTTTGGCATCACATGGCCGGTATTAATCATACAGTACTAAATAATACACGTATTATTCTATTGATTAATTATTTATTTTTATCAAATTAATGGTTATGTTTAAACTTGTGAATTATTAATATACTATACCAACACGTTTGTGTTACAAAAAAGGCTGACATTCGCAATTTAAGACCGACATGGCAGCACGTACTGATTAATATGCCGGTTACATTGTTAGGGTCAACTGTATGTACATTATAATTTGGCCAGCAAACCCGGCTTAACCTCTGACCTAGTGGAATCATAAAGTTACACACACTCATCAAAGTCACGCATTCTTCAACGAGACCGTTGCTAGATAGTCCGTCGCTTATCGTCCAATTGGAAATCCGTGCTTCCCTCAAGTATTTCTAGTGAACTGTGTATTTAAATGTATGCATTTTTCTCAATCCTTTAGTACATGAACTCGTTGCTTGTGCGCCGGTTTAAACAACTACTTCGTGCACATTGAACAATTTTTACCGATTTACCGTTTCCGTTTGCTACTCAAAGAGTTTTATTGCTATTTGGTGTACGGTATACGGCATAAATAGCCACGCTTTAAATAACTGTCTAACGGCAGCTCATCCGTTAACATTTTATACTAATGGAAATACGTTAAGTCGTAAATAGTTCGAACAGCTCCAAGTAGTTAACCTGCACTTTATTCGGAGCGTAACGCTTTTACATATAATCCGCGCTATTTGAAAGATACACACAATCCGCGTTAGTTTCCCGAACTCAAATTAGATTGCAAAAAAACAATATAATATTTTATTTGGAACAAAAGTCTCACACGTTTCTTCGATATACGATTTCTCATCGAAATACTAACAAACAAGACTTGTTCTATCACAAGTGGGCGACACGTTTGTACTATATCTAATTATTCTCAACGCACTCTTATCGTGTAATTATATGTATCGAATAAATATCTGCAATACTGGCATTATCATGTTCGTTCAGATGGTTTATCTGAGTCGGTGACTATAATATGAACCCGGCAGTTATTAACGACGGAAAGTCGTTCACGCCCAAGTACGGATTATTGTTAGGTACAACAATTATTGGGTATAAACGACTCGAGCATAATGCACGCAAATTAATGCATAAACGATTATTTTTCGAAAGCACACTTGAGCTGTACCTTATGTAGTGTGTCTGCCGCACGAGCCATCGTGTGCTTAATTTTACTGCTCCTCATTTTCCCACTAGACCGTGACTGCGAGTTGATATTCCAAGAGCGCGATTTCACGCGACGTGTGCTTTTGTGTGTACCGTAGAAAGTTAATTAAACTTTGCAAAACAAGTAGAATAACAGGAACAGAAAAGCTCCTTACAACAAATAATAAAACTACCCGGGGTGTGCCGCGTAGTATCCGAATTACGCTAATAATCTACATAGGCGTTGCCCTCGCGATTCTTTCACAAACATACATTACTACCGTCTTCTAGCAGCTAATGTAGTACATGTAAAACGTCATACAACGTGTTAATTTATGCACCCTAAACGCACCATCGAGTAATTTCGATTTGTGGCTATAAATGTTCAAATGCATTTCGCAAAAACGATTGAAACATTTAGGTATGTCATCGATATTAGATTTCCCGTCAAAAACTAAAAACGCTGTTAAAACATTATATTTTGCAGCAATACAAACTGTTATGATTATCAAACAAATATAATATATATTTTTCAGACAAATATTAAAAAAATATATATTCGCCGTGTAGGATTAACCTCGTTTTAACCCAACCCCCATAAAAAGAATTTTCTAGCTTTACTGTTAACAATAATGTATACACAGAATATTTGACATGAGGTGAAATAAGATAATTTGTCTTGAACAGATCAGTGGGGATTTCGCCCTCCAAAACACCTCTGCTCTCGTCTACTCGGTTGGTGTTTAAGAATTATTGCTGGT